TTCACCGTTGTCTCCGTTCAGGTGGTTCTGGTTAGTCTCTCACGTACCATGATGTTGCACACAACACAGAAGTTTGAGCCGAGACACCACACACACACACACACACACACACACACACCACACACACACACACAGCAACACACACACACAAACACACACAACACACACACAACACACCACACACAACACACACACACACACACACACACACACCACACACACACACACCACCACACAACCACACACACCACACACAACACCACGTTATCGCGTAAATCTGCACTTATCTCTCTCTCTCCGCTCTCCCTCTCTCCCTCTCATTTCCCTGCTACGATGGCCGTCTTGCACACATATCGTAGACCTGAATCGATGACGTGATTGCCTGTATCATCGACAAAGTGTTGTTCGACATCCTCTCAGGAAGGGGACAGTCTGACTTCCCCCTAGAAAGTACAACGGGAGGTTGTCACCGTGGTCTAACTACGAAGAGTAGAAGTTATAAATTTTGTTTTTTTTTTAGAAGGGCCCCCTCCGCTCCGCCGGGCCTTGGGCTGGGGATCTCCTCCACTCTTGGCATCTCCCTTCCCACTCCTGGGGGGGATCTCCTCACTCCAGGCGGGGGTGAGCGTGTATCGTGAAAATGGGACGGAGTTATACGACACTCGACTAATACCTCGGAGAGTAACATTGTCATTAAGTCTACGTTAATCGGATATATTTTCCGGGAGTTTCAACCTTCGTAACAGACCCGGTAGAAAAAGTGAGTTAAGACGTTATCCAACTCAGAGCAGAAAGTGGATCGCTCTAGCCAGCTAGAACCCGAATTTTTCCAACCACTGGTGACGAAATCTGTAAAATCGTACGATTCTGACGTTGCTAATAAAGGATAAGGACGGAACGTCTCCTATTCGCCGCGGTACGACCCATAGAGGACTGGGTCTATCTCTACTCGACGGGTCCACCCAGCCCCGTACTAATAGACCTCGAAGTCTTGATGTAAGGTGTCTCTGCCTTGTACCGTCGCTCCTTGCACGAGCCACCCTCTCTTGCTTTGTAGGACGTTCCACGACTGAAACCGGAGCGGTCCCAGAAGTACCACCCATACTGTAAATTCACGACGATCATATGTCCGGTAGGAGTTTCAGGGCCTAGGACCTGGCTTGGTTTTTGACAGAGACCCTGAGACTCTTTAATGTGAACAAGTATACATAGTAGACACAATAGAAACTTTGTTTGCGTGCCAGTGTTAGAGGCGAGTACAGGTGACGTTTGTCGCGAGACCCCAGACAGACAACACTAACACACACAGACAGTTGCGTAACCAGGTTAGTGTAAGTCGTAGGGCAATTGCCAAAAAAAGGGGGGGGTGGTTGTCCAGACGCTTAGTCTCCGTGGTCAACCCCGCGTAGAAGCGCTTAGCCCACCCTTTTTACACACCAAATTTTTTTTTTCAGGTCTCGCTCTCAATTGTCGAGTAGATCAACGTAGGATATGACATCGATCATCGGGATATCAAAGTGGATTGGCCCCACCGTTACCCCCACCGTTGACGGTGGTGATTTTTATCCGGGAACGTGGGTCGACGGTGGGGTCAACCGTCGAAACCAAAAACTTTCTTTTCAACATGAAGTAGCCTGTAAATACCTCTCTTTCAGAGGATTTACAGCTCACTTTCACTTACGTCGTGTTCTGCGTGCAGAACATTGGGGAGGGCCGATACGCGCTCGCAACTTATATACTAACCGCACGCTAAAGTAAACTTGCCAGCCGCGTTTTGCTCTTCGTTAGAAGCCTGGGTCAGACTTCCTTACTCTATAAACGCAGGGATGTTACTGTCTCTTCTCTGACAGTTCAAACGCGACATTGAGGTCGTAACTAAGCTTTTGCGTGGATATTTTCGAAATGCTAGAATCTGAATATCTCGAATCTGTATCGAAATTTTAACAGTAAAGTTGTTCTGTGTCTCACATGATTAGTTTTGCTTTTAAAGGGCCAAACCATGACCGAATGTCCTTGTCCTGTTATATTTTTTGAACGATTTTAACACGTATATTTATTTATTATCACTGCACCACGACCTATTTTAATTTCTATTCACACACACAATTTCTATAATCTTCTAATGAAGTAATGTACTTTTATCTGTATGTTAATCTTTTATACAGCGAAAATGTGGTCGCATTACATTAGAGATACAATGACAAGATTGAATTATAATCGTCAGACTACCGTATCCCCCTTTTCCGATAATGTCTTAGACGTGGACAAGACGAGAATTACGACCACCTTAGACGGCCCCCGCGGCCCTCTTGTCTCGTACCACTCTACTCACCCCCGGGGTGGGGGAGAAATTTTTACAAGGACCCCGGAAACACAGTCCCGTCGCGAAAGAGCTCGCCCAGCCAGAGAACCTACCCCCCTCTCGTTGATGGCACTAGAAGAGACGACAGGATGTTGAGGACGTCTCTGAAGTAGCAGAAACACGCAACAGTAAGACGGCGCGCGCCTCTCGCGCCCTCTACCTCTTACGGCGACCAGGTCGTGCGAGAGACGATACCAAGGAGAGATCTGCAGCCACTCCTACCCTCCCCCCTCGACCTTCATCCCCACGACTCCCACATCTCGTGGGGGACCACCTCCTGTCCCCTAGGACGTGAAGGTGTCTAATTTACGTTTATATTATGTTTTTTCGGGCTTAAAAGTCGGAACCTAACATGTGTTGTAAGTATTAATTCATTTCTATTGTGGGAAAAGTGGGGGCCAATGTAAAAGGTAAACGGGACATCGCTACCCGTCGACATTCACTACTTTCACCCCTTACAACCGGAATACCAGCGGGCGCTCGAGTGTCGTTTCACGTCTCTCTCTCTATCTATCTATTATACTATCATCTCCCCACGTGGCATGCCGCCCATAACAACAACGAAGACGACTCGCGATTGCCTATATTCTTCGGACAAAGATGTTATTACACCTCTTCTCTCCAAGACAGGACAGTCTGACTCTCCGTTTCACTCCATACCGTGAACTCAAATTCTATTAGGATGCAAATCAGATTCAATGCAGCGGGTCGGGACCCAGAGTTTTGCAAAACTAGTGGAAATTACAGTCCTGCCGTTGTCTCTTGTGTCATGATGAGGTTCACATAAAGCACGGTTAATGTATTATATTATTGAGGTGTCTCAAATATATGTCAATCAAGTGGCACCTGCTAACGGGGTGGTGGATGATATGTTTACATCTAAAAACATATTTTTCAAACATAATTATTTTAATTTAATTTTTCTTTCTTTTGTTACTTTTTTTTTAACGGTCCGCGATCTACCCGCACCACACTCGCGATCGACCGGTCGATCGCGATCGACTGGTTGGTGACCACTGGTCTAAAGATACTGTCATGGCATAAAGACAATGGTGATAAAAGGTAAGTATATTTGTTATACATCTAATCTGGAGATGTTATTAAGATGTAAAATAACACATTTGCATGATATGGTGCTAAACAAAAATATTCAATCATTTAAAAATGTTTCCAATGCTAGATGGAAGCTGGGAACTTTGACACATCTAAATTACGGCTGAATTATTACTCTTATTATTCTCTCTACTTAAATGTAGTGAGCGTGATCTTGTGAACATGTCTTAGCCGAGGTTACAGCAGTGGGGTGTATGGTGACTTGTGGTTGATGTGAAACTACATCTCACACCCCACTGGGCAATATGTTCCTCTGCTGAGTTCAGACTCGCTCTCTGTCTGCTACATCATGTGATCTTCACTGGCTTTATGCCACACTGAGAAGCCATAATTTTAGCATGTTAAGAGTAGACTGCCCTCAGTTAAAGGTCATCCAGGAAATTCATTCACTTTTAAATAATATACATTCCTTCTGTCTGCTACATTGAATATATACAGAAATAAATATTATGGCAAAACATAAGGTTTCTCTAAACTAGCAGCCATAGTTTCACCCTAGAATGCATGAATTTAGAGGTTGAACTTGTACGTTTGTGAAAGCATGAAAAGTGTGAACGAACAAGCCTGCTAGCAGCTATTTCAAAATGGTCTTTTCTATACAGGCATTTAGAGTTAAACATGCAGGCCTAATGCATGTTCTGAGTATCAGAGCAAGTGGACTGCTGGAAGATATCAGGGTTTCATCTGCAGAATTATTCCCTTACATTTAATTAAGAAAAATAATAAAACCAAAAAATTATTAATAAAAAAGATTAACATAAAAACTCAAGTTTAAGACGAACTCAATGGGAAAGTGGATGGAGCCAGAACCTGGAATTGATTTTGATGATGAAGGCAACTGGATCGTCTGGCTTAGACTAATAAAGAAAATGATGTTGAATATGGCGAACAAGTTTTAATTTGTGCACTGTAGGATCGTAATAGTTGTGTTGATCTGTGATAAATCTCGACTGTCGCCCTGACGCTTGCAAACTAGCAGTGGACTTTGATCTGGTCATAAAGTAGCAGCAGCTCATAATGTCATGGGTAGATCAACATGAGGTATGTTACTTTGGAGGTAGTCCAGCAGGCTGCCGTTCTTCATCAGCTCAGTGATGATGTAGATGGGCTGCTCCATGGTGCACACAGCGTACAGCTGGATCAGCTTGGCATGCCTCAGCCTCTTCATGATCTGAGCCTCTCTCAGGAAGTCCTCAGAGTCCATGGTTCCTGTGATAGGTGGTACAGGGGGGTATATGAGCAGTGGTACTTTGACACAGCTGTTTTGCAGTGGTTGGTTACATTGTTCTTCGTCGCACTGTGTGTGACACAGTGTGTGTACACTCATTCTTACATAGATTCTTGGACCACCATCATGGAGGTCATGTTTTGGCTTGGTTTATCGTCTGACTGTCTGTAGGATTACAGAAATGACTGGCCTGATTTTCATGAAACTTGTGGTGGAAGTGTAAAACATCAAGGAAGAATCCACTACAGTGTGGAGTGAATCTTAAAGCAAGGATGGATATTATGGAAGATTATGTTTTTTCTTCACAAAACAGGACATTTGTGATGCATTTTATGCATAATCTAGACGAGAAACAACAGTTAGTGAGATATTGATTTCATTTTCAGATTTCATTTATCCTATCTCTATTAGAAGGATCAAATCAACTTCCAAAGTTACAGTAACAGTTGTTTCCCCATCCTTAGCACTAGCATGTTTCTGGTTTAACCCCTCCAGTAAGAGAGCGGAGGCATTAGTGTACCAGGTTTGAGGGTCTTCACTGCGACCGCTGTGGTCTCGTTCCACAGGCCTTCGAACACTTCTCCAAACTGTCCGGCGCCAAGCTTCCTTAGCAACTTGATGGAGTTGCGATCAATCTCCCATTGGTCCACGGTGTTGTAGGACAGGCCGTGAGTCTGTGGAGCCTCCATCTACATACACAGGAAGAGTCAAAGTCTACTCACATCACCATGACTTCATACTGTATTCAAACATGAACTTTAGGAAGAAAACAAGGGATGAAAGGATTTGAGAGGATGTGTTTACCTTTTTGCAAGGCTCCCCCAGACGCACACAGAGGCCATCGGCCTCCTGGGAGTAATGAGCCACCAATTCCTGTACAGTAAGGAAGGATCGGGCCCTGGACACGAACACGTGACCATTCTCCAGTTTTTTCAGTTTGTAATGCTTCACCTTCCCACAGTCCAGCACTGAAACAAAAAGCCAACATCAGAGTTTACACAAGAGCGGGAATTGTGAGGTAAGGTTTCCTCTGACAGGAGGCTTCAAGTCTTTATCAAACGAAGCCAACGCATGTTTTGGGGGGTGTTCCCTCTCCTGTAGTGTGTCCTATAGGTTTTTGTGCATGTAAATGGTGTGTAACGGCTACAATCCCAAAGTTCCCTCCAGAGGGAGTTTCTCTACCACACACTGCTCCCCTGCCTGAAAAGTCTACAATGGACGCCAGCTAACCAATCAGAGCAGACTGGGCTCTGGTTTCAGACAGAGGGTGAAAGAGACTCTTTAAAGTAGAGACACTACATACTGATATACACCTGAACAACAGCAGGAGAGGACTCTTTAAATTAGACACACTACATACTGATATACACCTGAACATCAGCAGGAGAGGACTATTTAAAGTAGAGACACTCTTTAATTGGGTTAGGTCAGTGTTTACTGATTATTATCTATTGCCTTTTGGTTGCAACACATCAAGCTGTAAACACAGAAAAAGAGTGACATTGCCCCTCTACATTCACCAGTGAGACTGTAAAGTATCGGAAAACCCTGAAACAGCTGCTGTGAACTTCATGAGAGTGATCAGAGCTCTAACTAAAGCAATACGACTCTCTTCAGAGCTGAAGGGGAGCTGCTAAGGATTCTGTTTGTTCATTACTACAATCTTTATATTCCATCTATTCCGTGATTTATTAAAATAATGTTTGATGCCACTTTAAGGTTAAGAGATGTACTTTGAATATTCATAACAGATATTTATAAAAACTTAATTATATACTAACACCTCACTCTGGGTAACATTCTAGTAGGTGCTAGGTATTTGTTTAAGTCTTGTGCCTGTTATGTGCTTAAAGAGCAACTTGCAGGTTAGAGACACCAGTGAATAAATGTGTAGGAAAATGATGAATACACTAGATTTTCAAAAGAATATACAGAAATATACACTACAGTGACATCTGGCGTCGTTTTAGTAAGACATTTTCACTTCCGCATAAAAAAGCCTCCGCACGTGACCTCCCGCGTGTGACGTGACATGGGGGAAACAAGGGGGAGAGCGGCCGGTCTAACGTATGAATAAACATGGATCACAATGCTAGTTTTGACACACTCTTGTGTCAAAACTAGCATTGTGATCCATGTTTATTCATACGTTAGACCGGCCGCTCTCCCCCTTGTTTCCCCCATGTCACGTCACACGCGGGAGGTCACGTNAAGAAACACTGATGCATTAATCAATAACAATAATCTACAGCTCCTCTCTCTGCTCCAGATGAATTAAAAAAATATATATCCCAATGACATGGTTTGATCTTGCCGTCAAAGGAAAACAAAGAGAATTAAGAGTCTTGACCTCCACCTCCTTAAAAACAGGCACAAATAAAAATATGAGGAAGTAAGAGAAAAGGGTGGGACGAGGAAAGGGAGGATACATAATGGTTTATTGCAGCAATGTATTATAAGCTGTATGAATTATTATCTCAATAAAATCCAAAGACAAATAAGAAAAAGAAGCAAAAAGCTGGGGAGAGACCAAGGAGATGAAAGGTAAGTTAAATAGTTCTCATGTAATACAAAATGGAAAAGAAAGAAATGCAATATGTGGAGGAATGGATGAATGAAAACATCAAAATGACGTATTGTGTTCTTATTTCTAGGCGCAGTCATAAAAAGCAACACATTTTCAATCTTTAAGAAAAATGTTTTCACTTTATTGTTATGGTTGTTGTTTTTTACTTCCTGTCTGTGGGTAATCTTTTAAGATAACAGCTCAGTCAAATAGGTTCCATAAGCATTGTTTAAACACTTGATCAAAATAGCTCTATTTTTTATGTAGGCTTTATGAAAACAATTGTTCCGCCTGCTTGAACACACGTGACTGTAGTAAAAGTCAAACAATAATGAAAGACAGTTGAAATTGTTAAACTCTAATCTCTATAAACAGAATAATGCATAAATAAAGGAGTCCTTCATCTCTAACACAGTTTTTGCTTCTTGAGTTGCTATAGACTTTCGAAAATGATGGCTGCCCAGATATCAAATTTCTACAGCAGAACCTCAGAAAGACTGGCCCTGGCCTCCAGAGGCTAAGTTGTCGTCAGACTGATAGCCCATTGGTTCTGACATTGTTCAAAGTATGACCTAGAGGAATGATAGCAAGTACAAAAGTATCAGGACACAAAGAGAAGAAATGATAAAGTAAAAAGGAATTGCTGCAATAAGATCAGAGGCATGCAGAAGCTTCAGGGTATGACTTGAATAGTAATACAGTCTCAGAGACAAAAAGGAGAGTGGAAGGACAGAGGAACAAGGGGAGTTCCACTCTTACCCTTAGTAACAACAGACAGAGGTAGAACAGAGAAAAAGATGCAGTGCAGAAAACACTTTAATAGAAATATTATCTAACGACTGTGGTCTCTCTTGTTGCACATTACAAGCTGTATTTTCACAAGATGAGGTGCTGAATCTACTGCAGTAAATATGATCAGACTCACTGCACTTTCTCTAGCTGTTGAGAATATTACTGTAACCTTCTAGTGTATTAATCATACATAGTTACTGCATTTCCAGTTTATTTTAGTCTTCTTAAGTGCTGTACTATCCCGGTTGAAGTGAGCGAACAATTGGACACGTTCAGAAAATGAATGAATTCCACCCAACGTAATACAACGCACAAGCAACTTGGGCAGCGAAGCAGAGGCCATTAAATTCAAAAGAAACATTCCCTATGGAGAGAGAGAGACAGAGACAGATAGAAAGACAGAGACGTGCACCCACAAGAGACAGAGAGAGAGAGAAACTCATCTGTAACGTTACATTATTCGCCCGCAGCCTATCATTTTTTTCCCCTTTTCATTGTCAATAAATTCTATTAAAATCCAGCCTATGGTGTCTGATCTGTGGATTCCACTTCTTCTATAGAGGCTTCTCTCTGTTTCCCACCAAAGGCTCAACTGACAATTAATTGTAAAAGTGAGATTGGTGGCTCTCAAATAGTTATTTCATTTAACTCGTTACATTTTCATATAATGAACTCATAATCAGCAGTTTCCCTCCCTGCTGATGTCATTACGGCGGTCTATCAGCACAGCCCCTCTTGTATAGGACCGTAGACAACTTAGTGTGATGTTTTTTTTATTTAATTGGGCTTCCCTGGGAATTATTGTGGAATTCAATCTGTTAAAGGCTCTAAATAGCTGAGCCCATATACAGTATATCATATGAAGCTGTTGGTGAAGCTGTGTGGGGTCTTGAATAATGACACTCACCCAGCACATTTCTACTGTAGGAGGGTAATTTTTATCAGTGACATGCTGAGGTTCGACTTTGTAGCAAACAGAATGTCTCATTTAATCAATGTCATATATTTTTCCATTGTGTTCATGTAATGCAAACCCAGTACATTCATTGTGTTGACGCTTTCATTTAGAGCGAAGGTTTATAAAGACACTTTATTTCACAGACATGCTTTTCAGCCCACATGGTGACGCTTTCCTTCCTTTTTACCTCATCCAAACATGCAAAAGTAATTTTCCATTTTCCATTCAGCTGGCCGGTGATAAAAAAAAAGCCGATTTCCACAATGGCTACAGTTCAGTGGACAAAGGGGAAGGCATTTATAATTGTATATGTTGGAGGTGTTTTCCTATTTCACATTCAGATGAGGAATTTGACACACCTGCATGTGTGTGTGTGTGTGTGTGTGTGTGTGTGTGTGTGTGTGTGTGTGTGTGTGTGTGTGTGTGTGTGTGTGTGTGTGTGTGTGTGTGTGTGTGTGTGTGTGTGTGTGTGTGTGTGTGTGTGTGTGTGTGTGTGTGTGTGTGTGTGTGTGTGTGTGTGTGTGTGGAGCTGGGGCAGGGGTGTGTGTCTTTATGACTGAGCTCCATCTGTGTGCAGACACACATCATCCAGCATGACATCAGCTGAAGCAGAACACAGAGGACATTTTAATCAAGGCTCTCACTGAGCCTGGTGGGCTGGTAGAGGTATGTGCATGTGTGTGTGTGTGTGTGTGTGTGTGTGTGTGTGTGTGTGTGTGTGTGTGTGTGTGCGTGCGTGCGTGCGTGCGTGCGTGCGCGCGCGCGTGTGTGCGTGCGTGTGTGTGTGTGTGTGTGTGTGTGTGTGTGCGTGCAAGTGGGCGCTGCTATATTAAAAAATGTCCTGGGTATTGTGATGAATCATTAAGACTACTCCGACCACTGATAAAGAAGCAATCAGTCCTGTGTGGCCCTGAGTGGGTTCTTGTTAGAACAATGAGCAGACTCTAGATCAGTTGTAATAGGTACAAGATATATGCATGTTTGGAGACTTCTGCCATGACCACCAGAGTGAATCATATCCAAATTTGAGTTTTACAAGCTCTCCCTAACCTTCCGTCTTTCCTTGAGATAAAAACCTCTTGTGGTTAAGTAAAAAAAGAGCCCCTTTTCTCCCTCAGAGTGCTTTTAATTTGCCTTTTTCTTCTCAACAAGCTCTCACTTTAACAGAAATGTTGTCAGAGCACATTGACTCTGACATTGTATATTATTGCTTTTACAAGGTAACTTCTTTTCCCAAGGATGAAGGAATTTAGTCTCTTATTAGTCTCTTCTTTTTACTGACATTACAGTCACTTTCAAGCAAACATTTAGTAACATTTAAGAAGAAAGTTAAAGGTTATAAAAATTACATGAGGAGACGGTCATTTTCTAGCTATTTCAGTCTGGGCAATTTATATTATAATATAGTATAAGAAACGGGACTTTAGTCTGCTACTGCTGTAGTAACAGCACCTACTGCACTCGCTAAAACATGCAACAAGATAAAGGTCAAAGCTTCATTCTGCATCCTGGCATGCCAAAAAATGTACTAACTCCCTATTTTATTTTGCTCATAAAATTGGGGACGCACACTTTTATTCTGGTAAAACAGAGAGCACCACCTGATTTCGTTATAGCTGAGATAAAATGCTAACCTTTACCTATCTGCTCTGTTGGATCATCTGACTCTCAACTGATGTTGGCCAACTTACTGAAGGAGATCTCTTAGTAGTGAGTCAAGTGTTGATGCTTCATTTAATCTCTCTCATGGGAGCGCTAGCACATTTTTCTCAAGGGCTTCATGTCTTAATATGTAGTGCTCATCAAGACTTTATACCAGGGGTACTCAAACTTTTTTGTTAAAGGTCCACTTGTGTATTTTATACAAGGTCAATGGTCCGGATCAATGCCAGTAAAGCCCCCCCCCCCCGGAGCGGAGCAACGAAACTGAAATTAAGAAGCAGTATCGGCGCCCTTGAGGGGGTTTCCCGACATGTCGTTGCAGTAAATTAAAGGGTGTTTCATGTTGTCGTTGCTGTGGACCTTCTTAATCTTTTTTTTATGTTTTTTTATTTTATTTTGAAATGGTTACGTTTATTCTGGTTTATTTTTTGTTTGTATCTTTTATTTTAAATTCATTTATTTATTTTATGTTTTGTGAGCTGAGCTGTGTGATTTTATATTTGATGTACCTCTCTGTACAGCACTTTGGTCTGGAGCTGCGCCATATAGATAGAAGAGTTATGACAGCGGAAGTCCAAAAACGGTTATCGTCACGTGGTTCATGCAGACGAGGATCGTTCCCCGGAAGTTCATGGCAGGCAATGTTAATGCATTGATAACAGGAGATAGAACTACGATTTTTTGGTAATTATTAGTGAATAAAGGTTTTGATTTGCAATATGTATACAACAAATCGATATGTGTATGTATTTCCAAGGCACACAGGGGATAGGTTTCACAACATAAAATAGAATTTGCTACATATTAAGTGATAATATTAGGATTATTGTGAACAACTAGTTTACATGTTAGGCTAACAGTGCCTTGGTTAAAGAGCCTGTTGCTGTTTATTTATAGCTTTGAATTCTTTAAAACCAATATTATCTTCTTAAACTTGTATGGTAGTCAGGAGCATCGCTTTCTAATGTTTATTGATATATTTAGAGGGAGGGGATCTAAAGGAATGCTTCAAAATTCAGATTAGATTCATTTCTACCATTTTCTTAAATTCATGGTAGTTTCAGTAATCCCATGGTAATTGAGGACACAAGTTATCTAAATGACTAATGTCATCTTTATGGCTTTCAGAAAGGACAGGAGACCGACAGGTGACTATCAAAGGACTAGCAGCAGCAGCAGCAGCAGCAGCATGATGATGATGATGTTAAATGTGTTGTTTTAGGAACATCCATTGCAAATACATGGAATTCAATAAACATTGAATAGCATATCATGCAGTTTGTCTGTGCCTTTCCCTCCGTGTTGTCCTGGTTTGCTGTGCTGCCTCCTAGTCGCCACCATGGTTTGCTGTGCTGCCTGGGGATGCTCAAATCGCTCCGAGAAAGGAGTAAGAATGTACGGCGTCCCCACTGACACAGAGCGGAGGAAAAAATGGCTGGCTCAAGTCAGCAGGAGCAATTTCACGACCAACAGCAAACAAATATGTGAGGTTATTATATACAAACAGTGCATTTGCACTTTTTCACAAAACGAGAACCGCACCATTGGGAAAGCTTAATGTTTTGTTTAATACAAAAAAACAGGGAAAGGCTTGAAAAACACAGAGTTGAGACTCAGGGTGCAGGGTGAGGGTCTCAGTGCAGGTATTCAGGCTCCATTGAATCCCCCTCTGGTTCTTGTGCTGAAAGAGGGAGTAACAGACAGGAGAAAGGGTTATACACACCTATATAGCACACCTATTGGATAGGAAATTGCCTTGGGGAGATAAGGTGTGGTCTTTGTTCCCAACTGAAGTTATGGAACTTTATTATTTGTGAGTTTAACAGAGTATGACAAATGGCATCAGTAACAGATGTGATATGAATTTCTATAAAGTTGTCTCACATTCTTGGTCATATTTTATATACAGTATGTAATGAGTATAACATGTCCAGTAAGTATAAAGTGTTTCCTAATACTGTGTATTCAACCACTATGGTATAGTGTATGGTACTATGGTATGGTATCCTAGCTTAATCTGTTATCTGTAAACGTTCCCTAAATCTTGGATTAGGGATAATCCACTGACATCCTTTAATACACATGTTAATTTGAATCAGATGTACTGATAATATCCGCAATATAAATCTTTAAACTTCTTCTTACCTTTAAAAGTCCGTCACGAACATTCTATTATGCTGCAACTCTACAGCTCTGCTAGCCTTGGCGCTAACTTCCGGGGAACGATTGAGAGGCTCCACGATCCGCCATTGCTGTAAAAAGTCCGCCCCTCCATTTCTGTACGTTCTCTCTACAATTCCTAATTCTGTAAACCGCTCTTTTTTTGTCTTTCTCCGGATTGAATTAACCATAGATGTAGCTGTACAACAGTACTTTACACCGAACCTTCCTTCCTTGTTGCTTCCTTACTTTATTTCCTTATTCGTCATTCGAAGTGGATAGTTTTATTACTCCTCTTTTGTCCCGGCGACGCCTCGTCCTTTCTCCTTCCTCTTCTACCTCCCTTTCTAGTTAAGTTTACGGACTTGGATGTGGAAATCCTACACTTCCCTACCCTTTTGTTCGCCCCGGGGTTTTTTCCTCTATTACGGTTACTATAAACTTCGTCTTCCCCACGCTCCTCTTATCGGGTACAGTGTCCCTCCTTCAAGTGTCACAACCTCCCTTTCTTGCAGCCCTTTTGTTTGTTTCACTTATGAGGACTTATGTCGTTGGAGTACAGGAGTCTGTGTTTAGGGTTCAAGATCGACTTTTCCCCTAATAGTACTAGTAGCAATTATTCGTTTACCGTCGTTGGGGATTCGGAAGGAGATAGATTATTTAGGAGGGACTAGGTGTGTCCCCTCGTATTAAATTATGTCTGCCGCCCCCGCACCGCTCCAATAGCCAGCTGGCTCCGTAACTGTTATTATTCGTTCCCTCACTTCCTCACCAACTTTTGTAGGATTGAGAATTTAAGTAATTGACCATCTAACGTTTTTTTTTACTGAATTTAATTACCGATTTTACGCCCACCGCAACGCTTGTAACAATGAAAAACAATTGAATAAACCACTGTCCTCTTAAAGTAGGCAGTACTCGCAGGTTGCCCTTATCGTTGAACAGAGGACGTGTCTGCCGGACTCTACTTTACATCTGACGACCTTGTTCCCGGTAGAATTTTTACAATTAACGTGTTTTTTTAGTTGACTTTTTCGTTGTCGAACGGTTTAATTAAGGAGAAGCTTTGGCGGTTACCTTTTTAGTAAAAATAAAAAACATACACAAAACGGTAATACGTAACCTCTGAAGATCAAACGATCGACGAGAAAGGAAACGGAAATTAATGTTTTATACCTTAATAAGTATGACGATGGTAAACACATCGATATACAAAAGAGAACGCATCTTTGGGCTATAGTAATAAAGGTAGAACCATAACTCGTAATTTAGTTAGGACGAGCTCTGTACCTGAACGGGGTAATGAAATACCCGAATATGTTCATAAAACAGTTTCGGAGTAACACAAACATCATTTTAGCCCGATATGTCCTCCTGGACAGTGGTAGGTCTTCATCTTGTAAAACCGACAAACTCAGCAATTATCAGTCTGATTTTTGCAAAACCGTTGAAAAATTTTCGTACCGAAAGTTAACATAACGGTCACATCTAGAACCCTAACAGAGAGGAGTTACGTGTCCGGTCACCGATTGAGCAAATCCCAGGAGAGGTGAAAGGAAAAGTGGGGCCCACAAAATTTTACACCCCTACCATATTTTCGTCCCCCGAAGAGTTGAGGCCTGGTCCCAGACCTGGCTTTTGACGTTTAGTTAGGCCTGGTTTGGGACACAAGGGTAATATAATTTTTTTCTTTTTTTTCTTATAGTTATTTTTTTTTCCTTTTTTTTTCTTTCAAAGACTAAGACTACGAATTCAATGTCTACTGCCAGTCTATAATACGATATAGCCCTCCTTTCTTTGATTACTAACGAGCATCGCCGCTATGTCCTTCTGTACAGACACTTAAAGGCAAGCGCGTAACCCTTCTACACTCCGGTCTGGCGAAGTGGCCACAGCGGCCTCGGACGGTACCTCCACACTCCGCAGTATATTGCGTCACCGCCGACCCACGCTTAGGCCTCAGTAAACAACCCTTACGTCGGGTTTCACCCACGTTTAGTGACATTACCACCTAGATCGCTGTGCTGCCTTACTTGTAAACCTCTCTTACATGGGGCATTTTGGCAACTCTTAGCCCGACCATGTGATAGCCCTAAGTTAGCCGCCCAACGATACGTAGCCACAAATCGATGCCATAGATCGCAACGATCGCGGTCGTAGAGCGCGAAACATTGCCCGCAGACTGCATCTGCGTACATGCTGCCGAAGCGGGCAAGCTGCCAGTGTGGGAGTCAGCGCCGCTGGTTTCCACAACGACGCGAAGCGGCAGCGCCGACGGTTTCATCGATTGAAGAGCCGTGATTTTAAGACCTTAATTTTCGTTTGATTGGCATTATTAGCGCGCTTTGATTCTAAGAGCCCCAAACGCACAGGTTGGTTTAGTGCGCAGTAACTTGAGCCTGTGAAGTGCGCGCCGTCTAAGTCTCCCCCGTAAACATTCTGATCTACTTCCATACTGCCGCACCGCGCGCGAAGACGACGTGATCCTGACGGCCGAGTTCGTCTGCCGCGACTTGTTGCGTAATCCCGAACGAACTCAAAGCTGCATCGACCAATTCCTACGTACACAGAGAGGTTAGCTATCCCGCGGCCACCCCCTGTCTAGTGTTGTCAATCACTAAGTGACCACCGTACATACTAGAACTCACGTTATAGTTTAACAATCCCGCTACTCTTGACTTTCCGACTAATGGCAAGTGACCCATCATCGACCACGAGCGGAGTTGATGTAGTGAATCTGCTGACGCGTTGTGTCTTCATGGAAGTTAGCTGCCGACTACATCCCGACTAGGAGAGATCTAGTAGCGACACCTCTACAATACTGTAGATAAGAATAAAAAAGACCAGTCAAATTCTTGTAAAGTTCCGGGAATGTAAGCTCTACGCATCGCCAGTTCAAACACTACATTCGTGAAACCACTTATGGGGCGACCCGACATCTGCGCCGAACTCTCTGTTGATATTAATGCCTTTCGTCAGTATACTGTGGTCTTGCCCCACCGCATGTCCGTGCACGCAAGTCCTTGTGCTCTCACTTATAATTCACCCGCCACCAATTGTTGTCTCGGCTAGGCTCTCCGGCTTTATTACACGACACACCGTATGGCGCGCACGACACACACCGTTGCACACGACGCACACACGCACACCATCGGCGCACCACTCGTGACACTGCTACCCATCGCACACACACCACACAGTAATCGTGCCCGTGCATAGACAGGGACCGACGATGCTTCAGAATCGTTCGTACCACTCGTTAAGTTTCTTCAATGGAGAAACGGTAGGTCCGGACACTGTGTGTGTCAACTCCCACCCGCTACGTGTGAGGGGACATTACCTCATTAAGTTATCTATCAAATCTCGAAAGAGTGGAGTAAACGACAGCCCCGGGCTGAACTATACGGAAAATTGCTACCGATTACGACTTTCCCCGACGGACAGTTACTGCACTGTACTAACGTCGGTGCATTGAGCATCGAAGTGCGCGCCATGTCCCTCGAAATTGTGTTCTGCCTAGGAAAGATCTTGGTATTGGACGTGCCCCTGCTGCATGTAATGTCCGCGGTGCCACGAAGGTAGTCTGAGAGCTGCTGCCGAACTAAATCAGACTCAATACAGCCTTTGGTACTCGACATTGTCTGTCGCTTCTCCTAGTCTGACTGTCACGACGACGGACGTAGACCAAACTGTCCGAAGAGTAAATCCGCGGGTCTGCTCCTCTACCGCATACTATGAGCCGTTCAGGTCAGTCCTTTGTACGATTGAATAGTCAAATTGACAAATCTGTAGACTCATTGTGGTAGAAATTTTGTTCTAACAAAATACCGATCTAATATGTAGAATGCTATTGTTAATATATTATAGATGGAGCGAAGTAATCTTAGTTTATCCTTTTTCCTTATATAAATTTTTCTGTATCAATTTTATTTATAGAATATGAAAATATTAAATTTATAACACAAACAATTAAACTGTACACGTTTCGTTCCACCCCGCCACTAGGGATCGTCGCGGATACCCACTATAGTCGGGCTTCGGTGTCCTGAGTATGACGAGTATGGGGAGAAATAGGAGAATCGAAATCTGTCTTTTTTTCTCCACAACATCGATACGGACTAGTACATTAAGATGGCGTCTATTTCAATTTAAGACCGAAACGATCTTGCGGTAGCCAAGATGTGGTGTAGTTTCTAATAAAGACTTTGTCATACCTCGGAGTGTACGGAAATGGAGTACGTCAAAATACTGTCCACTCAAGGAAACATTACATGACCACAAAAACTGTGTTCTAATCGATATCTATATCGTGACTTACAATCGCTCGGAACGGATTACGATTTATTCTGTTTTATGCCAGGTTTTTTGTTCAGTCCGTAACAAAGACTATCGTAACAACTTACACCCAACAGCGAATAACAATCTAGCCCGTCTTTTAGACACTAAGCGAGCAGAGGATGGGGACAAAAAATTTTCTAAACACATGCGTCCTTATCCACCTCTCCGCAAAAAACAAGACTGCGACGCAACTCAAGGGGCTGTGTGGCACCCGTTGAGCGGTTTGGAGTCGCCCCCTGTGTATAAATAAACTATTTCTGCAGTGTATTCACGTAAAACGTACTTTCCGGTGAGCGGAAATTACGATACAAATGAACGACAAGATACGCCAAAAGAATCTTACTTACCACGTATATCGTAGAATGAACAGTACGCGCTCGCCACTGTGGTGTAACTTCTGGCATTCAATGTTGGCGTCAAATGGAACTTGAAAAAAGAAAATTAACCGAAAGGTTACGGTAGAACGGCTGAAAAGTTTGTAACTGGATGTCTGTTTATCACGGTAAAGAATGTGATCAAGTCAGTAGTTTGAAACACAGACATAACTTTACACCACACATATGTCACCGATACGGCAAATGGCTGTCCGTTCACGGAACCTGGTCGCCCCCGGGGGTTTAATCGACTAATTTAGGTTAGGTCAGGTTGAGTAAATACACGTTACATTTCGGAGGTCTGGTCGCGGTATATCTGACTCTCAATGCAGTAGAGGCAAGTAGGNAATTCATCTGGAGCAGAGAGAGGAGCTGTAGATTATTGTTATTGATTAATGCATCAGTGTTTCTTAGGGTCAAAAACACTAAACTCACAACTTAAAATGAAAGTGTTTAGTTTATTTAATAAAAGAGCACATTTTCAATGTGAAAAGTGACAGTAGATATAGATTAGTTGCAATTCGGTGCTATATATATACAGGACTGTCTCAGAAAATTAGAATATTGTGATAAAGTTCTTTATTTTCTGTAATGAAATTAAAAAAACAAAAATGTCATACATTCTGGATTCATTACAAATCAACTGAAATATTGCAAGCCTTTTATTATTTTAATATTGCTGATTATGGCATACAGCTTAAGAAAACTCAAAAATCCTATCTCAAAAAATTAGAATAGTTCCTCAGACCAAGTAAAAAAAAAAGATTTATAACAGCAAAACACAATCAAACATTTGAAAATGTCCATTAATGCACTCAGTACTTGGTTGGGAATCCTTTTGCACGGATTACTGCATCAATGCGGCGTGGCATGGAGGCACCTTTTCTCCTGAAACCCCTGGTGACACCGTGACAGGTCACGAAAAAAAGGAATCCGGGTTCAGTCTGCGGAGAAGGCAACAGAACCAAGTCTTCACCGAACTGGTACCCTAATGCCGATAACATCGGGTAAAGGGCCCTGTGCAGACACTTGTCACTGAAAACTATGGACCTGAGGTCCCGTAAGTACAGGTGTACTAGAAACGTCGACGGGTGTCACGAGTTTTGCTGAAGTAATTGTACGACAGAACGGTCCCGTATGCCAGAGAGCTAACCAAGACGTCTTAAGGGGACTGGAATTGGGTATCTGTTGTACTGCAATAACACTCTACTACGAAACTTTACTGTGAGTCACTGGTTGATCGATAACTCGATTTACAGAATAACTTCTAGGACCGTGGTATTGTGGAGTACATCTACA